ACGAGCTCCGTCATTTCCACCGGATCCGACGGGCGCATCAGCAGGTTCACGCACCGCTCCACCAGCAAGGTGGTCTTGCCGGTGCCCGCAGCCCGCGGTCACCACGACGTTGCGGTCGAAGGTCGTGGTGGCCTGCCGGCGTTCCAGGTCATCCGCGGGCAAGGTCGTCATCACGCTCAGTCCTTCCCCACGGCCTTCCGCATCCGCGCCAACGCCTCCGCGGACGGATGCCGCCCGGCGCGAGTGGAGGAGGGGAAATGGTCCTTGCGGCAGATCTCCGATACCTCGCAATACTTGCAGTAGTCGCCGGGCATGATGAAGAACTCGCCGGACCGGATGCCCCGCAGGAGTCGCGCCACCGCGTCGCGGATACGTTCACCGGAAGACTCCTGCATGACGCGTCCGGGGAATCCGCGAGGGACCAGCGGGCCGTCTTTCCAGCGGCCGGCGAGAAAGTACCAGGCCGCTTCAACGGCCGTGGGCGGGGTGAGTCCTCGGGCGTTGGCGTAGTCGGCGGCCAGCAGCACGTAGAGGGGCAGTTGCAGCTTCTGCCCGCGAATCGCCGCGCGCAGCGGATCGTTGTCCTCGGCGTTGGGTGCCCCGCCGGTCTTGTACTTGTAGTCGATGACCCGATAGCGATGGTCCCGATCATCGTGGTCGATCGCGGTCCAGGCGGCCGCGAACCGGCAGGTCCCGAAGATCTTCGGGCCAGTCGGCGCCGAGCCGCGTGGTGAGGTCCCGTTCGAGCTCCACGGGGCGGAAGCCCGATCGCGTCATCTCGTCCAGGTCCGCCCGAACCACCTCTCGCAGCGTGTTGACAAGCTCTTCCCTGGCCACTTCCCATGCCGCCGGGTAGCCCGTGGGACCACGTTCCTCAAAGGCGGCAAGGATCTCGGTGGCGGCGCTGTCGAGCCATGCGCTCCAATCGTCCCCCCAGGCGCGGGCGGCGTCCTGGTAGAACCGCTGCAGGATCTCGTGACAGATCCGCCCCCATTCCAGGGCCTGGACCGGCGCCGCCTCCTCCGGGCGCTCCAGCCGTTCCAGTCGGAGCACGCGGCGGGCGAAGTACTGGAACGGGCAGCGACCGTAGGCCTCGAGCGTCGTGGGAGAGATGTGGTGCTCCAGGATCCCGTCCCACACGCCTTCCAGGGGGCCGGTGATGCCGTCGAAGGACCCCGCCGCACCGCCGCCGTCCTCCAGCACGCGGACGGCCGCCGCGCTTCTCTCGAAACTCTCCGCCGAGGCGCCGCTCATGCGTACCAGCGGGGCCGGGTCCTCACCGCCGAGCGCCCGCCGCACCGCCAACTCTTCCGGCAGAAGCCACCGGGGGTCGTCGAACGGAGGCAGGTGCTGCTTGCCGAGAACGCCTTTGGGAATCTGGACGGTGTTTATGCCGGGGCCGTCCTCGCCGGGTGCGGCGTCCACCTCGCGGAGGTACCAGGACGGGTGCCAGCGGGCGGCCGGCCGCGTCCGAGCGTTGGTAGCTGTAATAAAGGCGGTCGGAGACCGAGCCCGAGGAAGGGCGGTCGGAGACCGAGCCCGAGGAAAGGCGGTCGGAGACCGAGCCCGAGAAGAGGCGGTCGGAGACCGAGCCCGAGAGCAGCGCGAAGAGCAGCTTCTCCTCGTCGTAGCCCGCCAGCTTCGAGGAGATCTTGTAGCCCAGGTCCGTCTCCAGTACGCGCCGCGCGTGGTCCCGCAGGAACGGGTCCTCGCGGATGGTGCGCGGGAACACGCCCTCGTTCATGCCTACGAGGAAGAGCGCCTGGAAGGGGATGCCCGGGCCGAGCCGGCGTCCATGACCTGGACGCCCTGCACGGCCTCCCGTGACAGCGGCACCGACGCCCGGTCCAGGCTCTTGCGCAGGGCCTGGGCGAACGACTCGAGGGAGACCTTCGGGGATATCGCCTCCAGGGCGGCCAGCCCGGCGAAGGTCTCGTCGATGGCCCGGCTCACCGCGTCGGCGGCTTCGTCCCGGCCGGGGTTGAGGAACAGGTCGATGACGGCGCGCCAGCGGGCGCTCAGGTCCGCCCAGGTACCCTCTTCGGGCAGCGCGCTCAGATGCTCATGCAAGGCGTTGACGGTCTTCAACAACGCGGCGAGCTGGTCCGGCGCGATGCGCAGGGGCCGGCCCTCCTCGTCGTCCATGAGGCTCAGTTTGAGGCCCGTCGCCCAGGTAGCGCTCCAGGCGGCGCCATTCGGCCATGCCCCGGGTGATGCGCAATGCCCGGGTGGCCACGTCCCAGAGGTCCGGCCTGGGGTCGGCGCCGGGGCCGAGAACGGTACCCGAAGTTGAAGTCATGGGAGGCCAGGAGATCGATGACGCCGGCCCGCGCATAGTCCCGCACCGGCAGGTCCAGCAGCGTCAGCACCGCCCGGACGCGATTGAAGCGGCGCAGGGGCTCCTGGGCCGGGGTGTGGAACGGGATGCCGTGCTCGGGAAAGATCTCCTGGATCCACGGCAGGTAGGCCTCCAGGGTGCGCGCCACCACCCCCACGCGTTGGAGCTCGATCCCTTCTTCCTCCACCAGCCGGAGCAGGTTCTTGGCCACGGTGAGGACTTCGTCCCGGGGCCCCGCGCAACTGATGATCTCGCGGTGGGGGACCGGTTCGGGGGCGGGAGCGGGTCCGGGGCGCGGGTGCTGCTGCCGTGTCGGCTTCTGCGCCGCCGTCGAGCAGGTCCACCACCTCGTCCGCCCCGGCCAGCCCCCGGAGGTAGCGGTCGTAGAAGTCCTGGGCGAAGGACCAGTCCGGATGGCCTTGGGCAAGGGGATAGAACAGGGTCACCGGGTAGTTGCCGGCAATGCTCCGAAAGAGCTCCAACTGGCTCTGGGTCAGGTCATAGAAGCCGTAGTAATAGATGCGTTCAAACTGCCCGAGATGGGCCGAGACAGGCGCGTGCCGTGCCACCGCCGCATCGAGGTCCTGGTGGTCCTGGGCCTGCCATTCCGGGAAGCGGCGCGTCACTTCCCGGTGCAACGCCAAGAGGTCGCCCAGCGCGTTCCGGTCCGTGTTGCGGAAGAGTCCCTCCCGCAACGCCTCCAGGGCGGCCTCGGGGTCCACCATGGCATCCTTCAGGTCCCGCAGGCTTTGCCACAGGGCCGAGCAGGCGCCGTCGTTCTCCATCATCCGGGCGAACCGTCCACCGGCCGGGATCACGCGCTTGAGGGCCTCCTCCATGAACGTCTGGTCCCTCAGTGTCGGCCCCGCCGGACCGTGCATCTCGTGGAACAGGTTCAGGCTGACCTGGAAGAAGGTGAGGACGTGGAAGTTCAGCAGGCTAAGGCCGTGCTCCTGGGCCAGTAGAACCTTCACGCGCCGGCGCAGCGTCTCCGAGGGTACCACCAGCAGGAGCGGGGCCAGCGGGTCGTGCTCCTTGCGAGCGTGGATCTCCTCCGCCAGGGCGTCTTCGAGTTGTGGGTGATAGGGACCGAGGATGATTTTCATGGAGGAGCCGGATCCTTCGACTTCGCTCGCCCTTCGACAAGCTCAGGACTCGCTACGCTCAGGACGAACGGTTGTGAACAGCCTCTCTCTCCGTTCGTCCTGAGCGTAGCGAGTCCTGAGCTTGTCGAAGGGCGAGCGAAGTCGAAGGGCATTTCAAACAACCCGAGTGTCCCAGGACTTTGGCAGACCCGGCACGCGTTGCCAAGGTCAACCCGGCGCTGCTAATCTCGGCTGCGTGAGAGTCCATTTTCTCGGATCCGGGGACGCCTTCGGCAGCGGCGGCAGAAACCACACCGCCTACCTGCTGGAGGATCCGCCGCACCTCTATCTCCTCGACTGCGGCCCATCGACGCTGCCGGCTTTCAAGCGCGCCGGGCTGGACCCGGCGGACCTGGATGCGGTCATCCTGAGCCACCTGCACGGCGATCACTTCGGCGGCCTGCCTTTCTTCTTCATCCACTACCTGTACAACAAACCGCGGAGCCGTCCGCTCCAGGTGGCCGGCCCGCCGGGCACCGAGCAGCGCGTGCGCGAACTCATGAGGCTCATGTACGGCGAGAAGGAGCTGCCTTTCGCGGTCTTTCCGGTGCTGGAACCGGACACCACCACCGCGGTAGCCGGGCCGAGGTGCTGGGCTTCCGGGTCCCGCACCAGACCGACGCCGTCTCCCTCGGGCTCAGGGTCACGGTGGCGGGCCGCACCGTACTCTTTTCCGGTGATTCGAGTTGGACGGATCAGTTCATCACCCACAGCCGCGGCGCCGACCTGTTCATCTGCGAGTGCTGCCACTACGACCTCCCGTCCCCCTCACACATGAGCTACATGGAGATCGCCGCGCACCGGGAGCGCCTGGAGTGCAAGCGGCTGATCCTGACGCACATGGGAGAGGAGATGCTCGCCCGGCGCCGGTCGCTGCCGGTGGAGACCGCCGAGGATGGACTGGTGGTGGAGCTGTGAGACCGGGAGTCGGTGTCGGGTTAAGCCTTCGGCTAACCCGACCTACGGGATGACCGGGTTCCCGGTTGTGAACCGCATTCCCGTTGTCCCGTAGGTCGGATTAGCGAAGCGTAATCCGACGCGCGTTATCCGACATGGGTCCCGTGGAGGGTGTCGGACAACTTGACATCCCGCCGGGCGTCTCCTACAAACCCGCCATGCCTAGAGTCACTTTCATGCCACTGGGACAGAGCTTCGAGGTCGACGACGGCACCACCCTCCTGGTGGCCGCGATACACAACGGCGTCAAGCTTCGCCATGACTGCACCGAGGCCATCTGCGGTACCGATAGGGTGAGGATCCTGGCCGGAGAGAACAACCTGAGCCCCATGGACGACAACGAAGAGCTGACGTTGTCCATGCTGGATTCGGACGCCGCCGACCGTCTGGGATGCGTCGCCAAGGTGCTCGGTGACGTGATCGTGGAGATTCCCGCCGATTAACTCGCCACGTTGACGTCGGCCTGCCTGGACCGGGGCACCCTCACCCCAACCCTCTCCCGGAGGGAGAGGGAGCCGGAACGTCGGGCTATTGTCAAACCGATCAAGCTGGAGGCCCAAATGAGCAGAGTCAAGGAAGCTCTCGACCGGAACGGAACCCTGGTCATGCCCGGGGTTTACGATGCCCTGAGCGCCCGCATCGCCGAACAAGCCGGCTTCGACGTCATCTTCACCACCGGCTACGGCATCTCGGCGACGCTGCTGGGGGAGCCGGACTTCGGCATCCTCACGCAGACCGAGATGCTGAGCACCATCTACCGTATCTGCGGCGCGGTACCGACGCCGGTCATCGTGGACTCGGACACCGGCTACGGCAACGCGGTGAACGTGGTCCGCACCGTCACCGAGCTGTTACGGGCGGGGGCGGCGGGCATGTTCCTGGAGGACCAGGTCTGGCCCAAGCGCTGTGGCCACATGAAGGGCAAGCAGGTGGTGCCCCTGGACGAGTATCTCAAGAAGCTCAACGCCGCGGTGGCGGCCGAGGGGGACGGGGACCTCTTCATCGTGGCCCGGACCGACGCGCGCCAGGCCCTCGGCCTCGACGAGGCCATTCGGCGCGGTATCGCGTTCAAGGAGAACGGCGCCGACGCGGTGTTCATCGAAGCGCCCGAGACCCGCGAGGAGATGCGGGAGATTGCTCGCAGTGTTCCGGGGCCGCTGGTGGCCAACATGATCGAGCGCGGTGTCACGCCGCTCATGACGCCGGCGGAGTTGAAGGAACTGGGTTTCGCGCTGATCGTCTGGCCCGTGGGCCCGATAGAGGAAGAAGGCAGGGAGATACAAGAC